GGCTTAGGGGCACCCCCTATGCACCTCCTTGGGCAAGGAGTCCTACCTATACAGGGAGCTCCCTAGAGCCTCAGGGTCCTTCTTCAGGCCAGAAGACCTCTTTGAAAGCTAGCAGTCTGCCAACTGGAGGGCAGGAACCAAGACCCCAGTTCCTGGGAGAACTGAGACTCCTTTTCCCAGAAGGAAAAGGCTCTGGCTGAAGGCCGCCTTGATACTCCTCACTACTTTAGGGGAGCAGAGTTTTCCTCCCCCACCATGCACCATAAAGTTTTGGTGTCTAACCCTTGCACTCGGGGTACCCATACAGTTACTGATGATCATCCTTGAAGGAAGTGCAGTAATGGTTTCACCTGCCTCAGCCAGGCCAGATGGGTTTTTTCCTGGTCCTCCTTGCCAGGGGTGATTCAACACACAACAGTCCTTGTCTCCACTACCCTACGCTCAAGGGGCAGGGAAAGGAAGACATCTGCTCTCCTGGGCAACCCAGGAGCAGAGCACGCTCCTGTAGTTGTGGGCACCATCTGTAACTTTTGCAGAACACCAGCAAGCACAACCCTCCCAGGGAAGGACCAGCCTGGCTCTGGAAGGCTCTTGGAAGAGCAAGCCAGTGTCTGGTCCTGCCCTGGGCCCCATGTATTTCTTGCTTACCCTGCAGGACCTTCAGCCCAACACTAGCTCACCAGTAAGAAGGGCAAAAGCAGAAGAGGCCTGCGGATGTGCGAGGGGCAGGATAGACAAGCCTACGGAGGCCAGGAGCTTGCATCCCCTCCACTGCCTCCAGATTGCATTTGGGAAACAAGCTTGGGTTGAAGCTGGGCAGTTACAGTCAAGACATTTGCAGGAAGCGAGAGGATGCCAAAGGGCCAGCTGAGCTGGCCATCGGCCAGGTGGACAAGGTGAGGGGACACTGCTCTTCCCCTCAATTTAAGCAGGGAAAAGTGGAGCTGAACACCCTCTTTGGCAGGGCAGAGCGCAGAGGTTAAGCCCCGACGCTCTGAGGTCTAAGCCCAGAGTCCCACTGCCCTCATCCCCCATGGCACTACTGCCAGAGCAGAGACCGAAGCAGGCAGAGCACAGCCGGCCGGTAACACCACACAGGGCAGGGACAGGGGCTCCCGGTTCTCCTGTACAAGTGCTCCAAACCAAGCACCTTAACCCCGTATTAGGACACTGCTTTTCTGTCTTGGCTTTCCCTTGGCATTGCCGTGCTTTCAGGGACTTGACGCTCAGCAGGGCTGTTGGTCTCAGTACGTTAAAGCATTCCAGTTTCAGACCAGTACAGGCATCCCCACGCCTCCAGCTCTCAGCAAGCACACCCGGGGACACCAGGTTGTACCAGCTGGTTGCACCAGCCTTTCCAGAGGCTCCTACACGGAGTCACCCTCTCTAGCCTGCATCCATGGGACCACTGTCCCATCAGAGCTCCTCACTCTGGCAAGGCTCCGACCACCCACCTGCACAACATCCTCCTCCAGCTTCAAAAGTGCTGGAGTCACTTGGCCCAAGGGGGTCCCAGCTGAGCCACTCAGCTAAGCCTGTTGCCTTCACTGTGACTCCAAGGAGGACAAGGAGGACATTTCATAGCTATTTCACTTGCTGGCAGGAGGCATTTCCTCCCAGCAGTCCCACAACACGCTTCTCTGGCCATGGGGATGAGCCAAGCCGGCCCGAAACAAAGCAAAAACCCCCCCTCCCCCCCCCCCCCCCCCCTGCCTCTCGCGGAGAAGCGGGCTGGACCTGCAGGGTCAGAAACCATCGCCCAGCTCCGACCGCTCTCGGCCGCGTAGACTTCTCCCCTGCGGTTTGCTCAGGGCTGGGGGGGCCCTCCGCGCGCTTCAGCCGGGAGGGGGCTTTGCCCAGAGCCAAGGTGCGGAGGCCAGGGTCAAGCCGTCCAAGCAGAGACCCACGGGAGCGAGGAGAGCCCGGATCCTGGCACGGGAGGCGGGGAGCGACTCACCTGAGCGTGAAGAGCAGCGGCCGCAGCGGCAGGCGGCGCGGATACTGAAGGCGGGG